GATGAATCAATTTTTCAAATCGGCGAATATGGTCCTTATCGGCAAACGCAAAGATTAGATGTTTATCGGAAATATATTGAAAAGTTATTAGCCGAAATTAAGGCCTATTATTGCTTTTGTTCTCCGGAGGAATTAACCTGGGAAAGAGAAAAATTCAGCCAAGAAAATAAACGAAGCAATTATCAATATTCCCGGAAGTGCTTACGACTAAGCGAAAAAGAGGTTCAATTTTTTCTCCACCAAAAAAAGCCGTATGTTGTGCGCTTAAAAATCCCCTCCGCTAAAAATTACTCTTTTGCTGATTTAGTGCGAGGGGAAGTTAATTTTCGGAGCCAAGACATTGAGGATTTTGTGCTTTTTCGCCAAAATGGCATCCCAAATTTCAATTTTGCGTGTGTGGTTGACGACCGCTTAATGAAAATTAGCCACGTTTTACGAGGCGAAGAGCATTTATCCAATACTGGCAAGCAATTAGTCTTATATGAATCCCTGGGATGAAAACCACCTCGGTTCGGCCACATTTCAATAATTCTTAACCAAGAAAAAAAAAAGCTTTCCAAACGGGACCCTGAAACTGGCCAATGACAATTAATCAGTCAATTACGGGCCAAAGGATATTTACCGGAAGCAATCGTTAACTATTTGCTCCTTTTAGGTTGACATCCCGGCACAACCCAAGAAATCTTTTCTTTGCCCGAAGCAGTTAAGAAATTTCAATTATCCGGATTACATGCCAGCGGAGCTGTCTACGATTTAGAAAAACTTAACTGATATAATAATTACTACATTCAGCAATTAGGAGAAAAAGAGTTCGCCGAATATACTTGACAATTTTTAGGCGAGCAAAATATCGGCTGATTAAAATCCGAAAAAGAAAAAAAAGAATGAGTAAAAGAAATCTCTTGGTTATTCCGGCCACAACTGAATTATTTTGCGGAATTAATTAATTTAACCACTTATTTTTTTCAAAGGCCAACACAAAAAATTGAAATTGAGGAAAATGAGGACTTGTGATTGAAAGAATTGAGAGAACAATTGAATCAATTAGCCAAATGGGAAGTAGAAAATATTAAATTAGTTCTTAAATCGGTTTGTTTAAGCAACCAAGCCCCCAAAAGAGATTTTTATCTCTTGGTGCGAAAAGTATTGACAGGAACCGACAAAGGACCTGAATTGCCTCATGTTATTTACTTATTAAATAAGGAAGAAGCGGAGAAAAGATTTAAAATAATAAATATAACAAAAAAATAATTACTTATCATGCGAGCAAAAGAAATAATAAATAACCAAAAAGAGCCATTAATATTCTACAAATATCAGCCCCGAGTTTTGAGTTTAGAGTGCAGCAAGCAAGAAATTACCGCCTGACTAGATGATGGCCGAAAATTAAGTATCCCAACTACTTGGTTTGCTAGACTGCGAAAAGCCACGTTAAAACAATTAAAAAATTATCGCATTTTACCAGATGCTTATCATATTTACTGACCGGAATTAGACGAGGATATCAGTTTACGAGTGTTTACGGAAGGCTTAGAAAGTGGTTGCTGTTAGAATATTCCAACCATTAGAGGTTTTGAGAAAAAGAAAGGTTTTCGCTTTTTCTTTACTTCCCATGACCGCGGAGAAGAGCCGCATATTCATGTCGAAGGTTCAGGTGGAATTATGAAAGTTCTACTAAAAGATTTATCAGTAGAATATTCGCGTGGTTTAACTTATTCCGAAGAAAGAAAAATTTTAGAAATCGTGGAAAGAAACCGAGGATTCTTTATTGAAGAATGAAGAAAATTTTTTAAAGAAAAGTAGCCACATAATTAATAAAATAAAACAATTAAATTGAGGTTTTTGACTACTAAGTTTGCTAAAATATATTTAGGGGTGAGTTATCCCCAAAAGTATAATAATAATAATAAACAATATAAAATAAAACGCTATGTCAAATCAATTCAATAACCAAAAAAAATGTAGAATTAGTGGTTGCTCTTGCACTTACGAAATTATTCCTGGCTATAAGGACCTGGGAGTGTGTAAATATCATTCTAAAAGATGTCAAGGAGTAGTTTCTGGCCAATGAGAACTTGTAGGTGAAACAAGGATGAGATGAGAAAAAGTACAATGCGATATAGCAGTTCCGATTGACGGAGGAGATTTCTGCGAGGGTTGCAAAAACCAGACCGAAACTTATCAAACATGAAAAACCCGAACAGAAGCCGAAGGAAAACAAATATTCGAGAAATTATGTCAAGTCCATGAAAAGGCACAAAGTTGGTGAAGCACGCTTTCTCCACAGGAAAAGGAGCGAGAGTGTGAAAGATTAGCAGAAAAAATAATAAAAAGAGGCTACACGGCTTCGGGATGGACCCACACGGGTAGTTTCTGAGGTATTGAAAATGGAAAGTTTACTTCCAGTTCTCCGAACTTGGTTCCCATTGAAATAGTTGAGGAATTTGCGGAAAAAGAAATAGGATTTTGTGACAGTAAAATGATAGAATATTTTGAATCACAAATGGTGGTGAAAAAAAATAATGGTGATAGTTCGCCAATAGTCAATAATCCTACTTGTCTTAATCAATCACCGCAACCCGAAAATAACCACACCGGTCAGTCGGCAAAAATTAATGCTAATGATACCAACCAACAATCCCCCAAAATAGGACGGGAATTGACTGAAAGCAGAGAGCCAGAAAAAAAGCAAGCAGAAATAGCAAAAGATAATAAAGAAAACGGACTCAATAAAAATGAATTGCTGGTTATCGATTTGAAAAATGTCAAAAAAATAATTTTGCGGGACGATGGCAAATTAGAAATTGAGTTTGACAACACCCAAAATGACAATTGTTCAATAATCCAAGTTATAACTGACGAGCAAATAAAAGATAACCAAGAATTACAAAAAATTAAAAATTATTGTCAAAAGAATGACAAAAATAGTTTAAACCAGCAAGAATTAAATAATATTCTCAATTCCAGCAACACTTATAATTTGACAAATAAACCCGTGAA